AAAAGTTGCACAATTTTTTATGAATTTTTCGAAAATGATATACAAATAAAGTCCAAACAAAATGGCCGCTGATGTTAACTTTGTTAATTTAAATGAAACACCCTGTATATTTTTCCATATTTGGATAGAACGTTCTCTATCGAGCATAGTCATATAGGGTTTGTTGGGTCCATCTCTAACATTAAGCGAAATACTATTAAAAAACGAAAAGATTTATTAAGAAAATACAACGTCTTGCAACTGTTAGACATCTTTTAGTAATTTCTGCATTTTTCTAATTACATAAGGATTTACAAATTTAGTTGTAATATATTTTGCCATACCCAACATTGATATGGTCCAAAACGCGTATAGGTATTTTAACTAAATCTCACTAATTAGGCCGAGAGAGGCCTAATTCATGGATAATGTTATATGGTAGGCCGTGACAGTGACAAGTAATGTCATGACAATATTGTTATTGTTTGAGAATTTGTATTATTATTTAATTAAAATGGGTTATACAGAAGTAGAAAATTTTAATAAAGTTCTTCTCCATACTCTATATTTTTTCTTACTACTCTTTTCCAAATAATATTTCTATTTTCAATACTTCTGTGTAATCTATTTTAATCAAATAAATAATACAAACTGTCAATCAATAAAAAGTTATCATGTCATTACTACCTGTCACTGTCATGACCTACCATATAACATTGTCCATGAGTCCTCTCACTTCCTAATTAATGATATTTAGTTAAAATACCTATACGTATTTTGGACCATATCAACGTCCGATATGTCAAAATATATTATAATTAAATCTGTAAATCCTTACTTAATTGGAAAAAAGCAGAAATGCCTGAAAGATGTCTAACAATTACAAGATATCTTATTTTCTAAATAAAAAAACCATCGTTTCGTTTTTTAACAACTTTTGTATTTCACATTTTTTTATAACTCTTAAAACAAAAAAGTTAAAGGGGGGGTTCAAAACATGGTGAATCACCCTGTACCTAAGAGCTCTTTTTGTGTAAGAAATCGGTAAAAGAAATTGATTAGAAGCTGTTTAGAATTAAAATGTATAAGTGTCCCAGAGTTAGTAATCGGCTTTAATTCAGCAATTTAATGACTTGAATTTTTTATACCTGTTATCAAAACGGACCTTAAAATTTAAAAATTAGTGAAATAAATCCTTGCTCCAAAAGGATCACTCAAGGGTTGTTTTTAAGAAAATAGTTTTGCCTAATCAAAAAATCACACTGAAAAAAGCAAACAAATACAAAATATATACAAAGTACAAATCACTTTGTCTCGCACACTTTAAAAAGTTGTTGACGTTTCGAAAATCTATCTGTTTTCTGAACTTATTTTGACTTTTCACTTTAAACTGTCTAAACACCTAAAATGAAAACTCACAAAAAAAGTTCAGTAGACGAAAACAGACAGATTTTCGAAACGTCAACAATCTTTTAAAGTGATGTGTTTTTTGTACTATATTTTGCATTTGTCTGCTTTTTTTCGGTGTAAAATTTTTTGATTAGGCAAAACTATTGGCGCAAAGGTATATTTCAGTAAATTTTAAAGTTTTTCACAGGTGGCAAAACCCAAAAAATAAAGGAAAAAAAGTCAATAACCTGTTGACGTTAAAATATAACTAATAGTTCAAAATACTGACAATTTGTACTAGAATGATTATTATCGATAGGTAATATAATAATTATTCCATAATTTCGACTTTATTTGGTGACTTAGATACATAGATGTCATTATCTGAATGTTATCTTTAAAAAAATTGAGTACAAATTTAATTGTCTCAAAAATTGAACCCCCCACACTTCAAATGGATTTGGACTATACTTAGATACCTAATTTTTGCCAACTTCTTATTGCAGAGCTGAAAAAGAGAAGAGCAAATTCCAGAGCGAAGTGTACGAGCTTCTCGCTCAAGTAGAGAGCGTAACAAAGGAACGCTTAATCTCCGTCAAACACGCCGAAAAATTGGAGATCACCATCAGCGAACTCAGCGTCAGAATCGAGGAGTTGAACCGCACCATCGTAGACATCACCTCACACAAAACTCGCCTCTCTCAGGAAAACATCGAACTCACCAAGGAAGTACAAGACATCAAGGTCAACCTCGAGAACGCCATCTACCTCAAGTCCCAACTCGCTGGCCAATTGGAAGATGCCAGACGTCGCGCTGAAGACGACGAGAGAAGGCGCTCCCTCCTGGAAGCCAACCTCCACCAGGTCGAAATAGAGCTCGAATCTGTACGTGTCCAACTTGAGGAGGAAAGCGAAGCCCGTCTCGACCTTGAACGCCAACTCGTCAAATCCCAAGGTGAAGTTCAAGTATGGAAGTCCAAGTATGAAACCGAAGCTGCCGCCCGCGCCGAAGAAGTTGAGGAACTCCGTCGTAAATTCAATGCCAGGATCCAAGAACAGGAAGAACACATCGAAGCTCTCTTGGTTAAGGTCAATAACCTCGAGAAGCAAAAGTCTCGCCTCCAATCTGAGGTCGAGGTTCTCATCATCGACTTGGAGAAAGCCAACAACACAGCCAGGGAATTGCAGAAGCGCGTCGAACAACTCGAAAGGATCAACATCGACCTCAAGACTCGTCTTGATGAGACCGTTCAGCTGTACGAGCAAAGTCAACGCGATCTCCGCAACAAAGTCTCTGAACTACAACGCACTGTCCACGAATTGGACAAAACTCGCGAACTTAAGGACCAACTTGCTCGCGAAAATAAGAAATTGGCCGGTAAGTTCAATCATTAAGTACAAGGCAATCAAACAGGAATTGTTTAATAATGTTTCGTCAGAGCGCTTTTGATGGATTTTCGTCTTCATATATGTACCTTAACTTTCAACTTCTCAAATGTTTCTTCAAGCTATAGATAAGTCTTTGACTTTTTAAAGTATTTTTTGATATTTGCAGCCAAATAGTTTTTTTTTTGTAAAGAGCCTCCACAAGTTTATGCATGGTGGACTAAATGCATATGCAGGAAGAGGATTATCCCAAAATATAAAGCAAAAATTTCAAGAAGCACTCCTTTGACAATGTTATTAAGCAATTCTATTGCTCACATAGTTAATTGTTGTTGGATATACATATATTTTTTTGACAAGCAACCTGTTATAATTAAGATTAAAATTTGTTTTAGATGACCTTTCTGATGCCAGAATTACCATCACCGAACTCACCAGACGTCTGCATGAGGCTGAATTGGAAATTCGTCGTCTTGAAAATGAACGCGAAGAACTTACCGCTGCTTACAAAGAAGCTGAAGCTGTAAGTGGTCTTTTTTATATAATTTAATAAATATATCAAGAATCGACTTGTGAGAAATATTTAATGAGAAGTTGTTCATATAGTCACTATAGTATATCAAAAACCAGAAAACCTATATCAAACTCTTTCATTGGTTCTTCAATTTAAATGAGGGTTTTGATGTCGAATTAAGTTGTGTTATTATGATTCAAAGTAGATTTGCAACAAAAAAGTTAAAAGCAAAATTCATTCAAAACAAATCATCAATAAAATGTTGCAAGGATGTTCTGGTGCATGAACCATGCCACCTTTGAATTGAAAGGTGTAGAAATAAATGTAAATTATGAATTCTTAATGATTATTTCTACGTCTATAGGGACGCAAAGCTGAAGAACAACGTGCTCAACGTCTGTCTGCGGAACTCGCCCAGTTCCGTCATGAGGCTGAGAAACGTCTTCATGAGAAAGATGAGGAAATTGAAGCCATCCGGTGAGTGAACCTTTTATATTCTTATTTCTAGACGAGTTATGAATTTTGGAGATGAAGTCATTATCTGAAGAGCTCCATCACAGTTACGAACAATAAATGTGGTGTAAATATTTTATATTTGTAATTCTCGCTAATTTCAATGGTTTTCAGTACTCAGCTGATTTTCTTTTGTTTCATCAATTTCTCTTGGATCTTACACGAATATCTGTTTTAAATTTTCCGAGTAAATTCCACTCAAGCTTGTTATTTATGTAGTTTTACAGCGTTAGTTTTCCTTTGGTATTACTTTTCCAACAATGCCTTATTTTGTTATACAAGAGTACATAATTTGTATCCTATTGATGAGTTAATATAACTTTTTCTTGCCACTCTCAAAATTAGCTATCTGGTTTGTTTTGCTGTACCTTCCATTTCAAAAATCAATTTGGTACTAGCATTGTCTCTCTGCAAGAGTTTTGTGGTAATTATTAATTAGAGAGAAAAAAAGAATAATAGGAGTTGTGTGACAATTTATGTACCCAATAAGTTGTAATAAGTAACCGATGGCATTTTCANGGTACTAGCATTGTCTCTCTGCAAGAGTTTTGTGGTAATTATTAATTAGAGAGAAAAAAAGAACAATAGGAGTTGTGTGACAATTTATGTACCCAATAAGTTGTAATAAGTAACCGATTGCATTTTCATATTTTATTGAACTGAAGTTACGCTAAAGATAGGTGGTTGAAGCTAACTAAATCGATTTTCTATTCTGTCATTCGAACAAAGCCTTAATACATTATATCTATACGCAATTGTCAAATGATATAAAGAAAACGCATTTGAAACAATTTAAAAATTTAATTTCGGTAACTTTTAATAAGGTAACACAATATACATATTTCAATTGTGTGATGCTTCTGTCTGAATGAATTGCAATAATTATTAAATAATAATACGTTACAAATAATTATTTGAAAATGTTTAAAAANGGTACTAGCATTGTCTCTCTGCAAGAGTTTTGTGGTAATTATTAATTAGAGAGAAAAAAAGAATAATAGGAGTTGTGTGACAATTTATGTACCCAATAAGTTGTAATAAGTAACCGATGGCATTTTCATATTTTATTGAACTAAAGCTACGCTAAAGATAGGTGGTTGAAGCTAACTAAATTGATTTTCTATTCTGTCATTCGAACAAAGCCTTAAAACATTATATCTATACGCAATTGTCAAATGATATAAAGAAAACGCATTTGAAACAATTTAAAAATTTAATTTCGGTAACTTTTAATAAGGTAACAC